AAAAAAAAAAAAAATCATGAAAAAATCAACACTTTAATTCTCATATAGGCTCAATAATTATTCATGTTAACGTGTCGATTCTACTCAGAGAAAGTAAATAAATCAATAAACAAATAAAAATAAGAAAAGTAAAAAAAAAAAGAAAACGAGGAAAGATAACAAGAAATAAAAGTAAAAGAAAAGAAAAAAAAAAGAAGCATTTGACATTCACAGCACCATGGGAAGATACCGGTTTACATTGACAGTGAACCAAAGAAGGCTTATGCAAAGCAATCAGCAATTTTTAAACGAAATACTATATAAAAATACTCTGTTAAATCAAAAAAACAGATAAATAAATAAATAAATAAACAAATAAATAATAAATAAGCAAAAAGAAAGAAAAAAGTGCAAACAAATGAATAGAAGAACAAACGATTGCGCCTATTAATGAAATGAAAATATTGCAGTCTGATAGATGATAATAATCAAGTAAAATCTGTTTGGGGGAGAGTAAAACTGAACCGAATACATGTATGTGTAAAGATGAATTGATTGTATATCGGCTTCCAAAATCAATTGTTAAAAATTGGACGTAAAGGAAGTTTCACACACTAAATACGTCACAACTCTCACCATCACAGCTGTATTATTTCAAATGTTTTCGCTTTGGGATAACTAAGCACTAATGCAGCACATTATTCCTATTTTTTCTTTCATCTCTTAGAGCTGAGAATAATCGCTTACGATAAGTAGTCAAAGAAAACTGACTTTTATTTTTTCAATTTGTTATACATAAGCATGTTATCAGAAGGAAAAAATTGAAAAAAAAAGTGAATTGGTAGGTAAAAATAAAAACTATAGAGTTTTTTGCCAGACCCCTCTAACTCATGTTGTTAATTTGGTGTTGTTTCATTCAACAAATTTGCTCATAAATGTTGCAATAATTATAGAAAGCTATGAAGCATAATTCTAAATTATTCATTTTGGTTTTCAAATTTACAGATTTTGTTCGTCATTCATCAAGCTAGTGTATATAAACAACAGGTCAAATAAAACAAAGCAGAACAAAACAAAATAAAAAAAAAGATGTAATATTTGAGCAGAAAAAAAAATATCTTGTGAAAATGGTTGCCATTATGGATTACAAATAAAAACAAGCACACTCTTCTTTTTTTTTTTTCTTTTTGCTTGCCATTTTCATGTTTGAAATCCTTTTTCATATGTACGTCAAATGTATATATTTTCATTCCATCTGCTTTTTTTTTATGTCCTCATCTATCATTAAAAAGCATACAATTCTCATCCTTTTCTTTTTCGTTAAAACATACAAAATTATTATGCAGATTGTTAAAAAAAATTATAATACGAGAGGGAACTAAGAAGATGGAGAGAACTTTGTTTAAAAAATTCATTTTTCATTAGCATCAAATAAGCGCTGAACAGAACCTACGAACTGGCATTCATCAGGTTGAAGACTAAAACTGTAAACTGGATAAGCAGAAAGAAAGAGAGGAAAAAAAGAAGCGGAAATAAAGTTGTTTGCTAAATCAAACAAG